CATTGATGTTGGGAAGTGGGTATTTGTTCTTGATGGTCTTCTTGTTCAATGGACGGTAATCAACACAAAGTCGGTCCGTTCCATCCTTCTTCTTCACAAAAAGAACACCACAACCCCAGGGAGAAGAACAAGGTCGGATGAGACCCATTCTCTCTTGAATATCGAGTTGCTTCTTCAGCTCCTTCAACTCTTCAGGTCCGAGCTTGTAAGGACGCTTGCACACTGGTTTCGTGCCAGGCTCAAGATCGATGACGAATTCAACTAGCCGGTGCGGACGCATTCCTGGAAGCTCTTCTGGAAAGACGTCTTGATATTCGCAAACGACTGGAATTTGCGAGATAGCATCCAGTTCACCCTTCTCATTGAGGGTGGATAGGGTTTCGGGCGAGGGGATCCGCGAATTTTGAGAAGGGGGTCTATATATAGAGGTAGAGGGAGCTAGGAGTGTCCAAATGAGGTGCGGTTTTCGGCCACGCGATCGTGATCGAACGCTCTAGATGATGGAGAGAGTTTTGGTGGGTTTTGGGCCAAAATGGAGGGGTGTTGGGCTGCAACACACACGAGGCCTTTTCGGTCCCTCGGTTAACCGTTGGAGCATCAAACGAAGTCCAAATGATACGAAACTTGACAGGCGGTCTACCGGTAGTATACCAGGGACGCTTGGAAAGTCTCGGTCCAATCCGGAAATGTTTAATCCCCACACACAAAAGAAAGGTAGAAATGACCACCGGAGGAGAACAGAGCGCCGGAATGCAAAACGGACAACGGGGAAAATGCTCGGATGCATGAGATGAACACGTATGCAGATGCAATGCACATGATGACATGATATGAGATGCATGACAATGATAACAACATGCGGAGACAAAAACCCGAACCCGAGAAAATAAAATAACTTAAGGCCGGAAACGGCAAGAGTTGGATTACATATTAGGTAAATCATATCCGGGGTGTTACACTCGCAAAGGAGCATTGCCGTCCGGTAGTAAGGCGGGATCAATCCCCGTCCTGGAGAAGCAAAGGAACCACACCTGCCTCGCGAACACGCACTGGGACAGAATGTGGTCTACAGTGTCTTCCTCTTGATCACAGAGAGAGCATGCCGATGTTGTTTCTTGGAGACCATGTCAAGCTCTCCGATCCGAGGTCCATAGCCTATACTGAAGTGCCAGCCACATAAAGATTTGGCAAGCGAGGGGTGCTTGGCATTTCCAGATAGCTGCCGTTGGCTGAAACTTGATCCCTCCTTCACACATCATCTTGTAAGCAGAGGAGGCAGTGTAGGTGCCTGATTCGTTCCAAGCCCATTATGGCCTGTCCTCCGAACCCTGTTGTACCTGGATGTTCATCAGTGCCTCCCAAAGCCTTATGAACTGAGCCAAGTCCTCGGTGCTCATATCCCCCACAATATCATTCATCCAGGCATGGAGAGACATTCCATCCTTCACCGATCGCCTGTTGATCATCCAGGTTTTGACCTTGGGCAGTAGGCTGGGCGCTAGCTCCTTCACTGTCGCCCCTCCAATCCATCTATCCTTCCAAAAGAGTATTTTCGTGCCATCTCCCATGCGCCATTGCACCAAGCTCTGGAAAGCCGTCAAAGCCTCCTTGTCTACAATCTCGTGTAGGCCCTGCCATGGTCTGTCGTTGTCCGTTCGCTTCAGCCATTCCCAACGCAGCCGGAGGGCAATCCCTTGTTTATGTAGGTTAATGACTCCCAAACCTCCAAGGCTCTTTGGCCTGCAAACTCGCTGCCAAGCTACCATACACTTCCCTCCTACTGCCTCGTCCATGCCTGCCCAGAAAAAATGCTCTGCATCCTTTATCAATCCTATCCAGTGCCCATTTGGGGGCATCCGCAATGATCAAATGATGCATGGGCCTCGCCCTCATTACTTGATTCACCAAGATGAGTCTGCCCGGTCTGGTCACCAACCCTCGCTGCCAGCCTGGGAGGATTTTCAGCGCTGCATCAACTATTGGTTGCCAATCAGAGCGAGTCATCTGTCTAATGGCAAGCTGCAGCCCAAGATATTTACAGGGGAACTTTTCCATCGTCCAGGGCATGGTGTTCCGAATGAGCTGTTCATCCCGCTCCTCTCCTCTAATAAGAATGGCAGATGATTTTGTGTAGTTCACCCGCAGGCCCGAAGCCTCGCCAAATATCTGAAGTACTTCCTGAACAAAATGCATGTCGACTGCATTTGGCTTTGTGAAAAAGACAACATCGTCCGCGTATAATGACAGTCTCTGCGTGGGGTCACATCCATTAATCTTGCTGAGCAGCCCGGCTTCATTAGCCTTGATGACGATCGCCGTTAGCACATCCATGACTATCACGAAGAGCAAAGGCGAGAGTGATTCGCCTTGTCGCAGCCCACATGCGTGCATAAACTTCTCCCCGGCTGAACCATTGACCACTACGCGAGAACTGGCAGTATGGAGCAGCGTCGCGACCCAAGACATCCAACGCTCCGAGAAACATTTGGCTCTTAATACCTCGAACAAGAAAGGCCATGACAGTGAGTCGAAGGCTCTTGATATATCCAGCTTGAGTAGCACCCCTTTGGCCTTCCTTTTGTGTAGTCTTCGCGCCATCTGTCTCACCAGGATGAAGTTATCGTGTATGCTTCGCCCTTTGATGAAAGTCGATTGGTTTACGTTAACGAGCTCCGGCATTCGCTTGCAAAGCCTAGTGGACAACAACTTGGAGGCAATCTTCGGCACACTGTGTACCAAACAGATTGGCCTAAAGTCTCTCACGGTGCATGCCTCCGGGCACTTGGGGATTAGAGTGATGAGTGCCTGGTTGAGCCTCCCAAATCCTCTTCCGTTGTCGATGAACAACTTGTTAAGAGCTGCCATGACATCCTCTTTGACAATTGACCATGCTTTTTGGAAGAAGATGCCTATGAAACCATCCGGTCCTGGCGCTCTGTCTGAGGGCATCTCTTTGATCCCATTCCAAACTTCCTCTTCCTGGAAAATCATGTCCTGCTCTGAGAGATCGAGGCAATTGATGTTCAGAAAATCTAGATTTAGGGTGTGCTCTCGCGCCGACGCTCTTCCCAACAGCTCCTGGAAGGCCACGTAGAAGGCCTCCTCCTTTCCCTTTTGGTCTGTGACCACCTGCCCTTCCACATGTAAGGCCGGTATGAAGTTCTTGGCCTTCCTCCCATTCGCGATCAGATGAAAGAGCTTGGTATTCGCATCACCGTCCCACAGGTACCGGATCCTCGATCGTTGCCTGGCGATCGTTCTTTCCAGAGATGCCAGTCCCAGCACCAACTGTTTGAGGGTGGATCTCAGCCATCTCTCTCCATCCGAGAGCCTCCTATAATCCTGCGCGCAGTCGAACCTCAGTATGACCAAGTTGGCACAAGCAATCTGTAGTTTGATGTTGCCCGTCTTCCTCTGAGCCCAGACCGTGAGATGTCTAGCAGAATTTCGTAGTAGCACATCAAGCCTATGGAATGGATCCGTGATCTCCTCGGCACAGACCCACGCTTCCTTTACTTCCTCCAACAATCCCTCCAGCTTGACCCAGAACATTTCAAATCTAAACCTTTTCTTCGGTTGCATGTGTTCTTCTAGGGTCAAAAATAGCGGACAGTGGTCTGAAACTGAAGATGACAAGGCCTGTAGCAAGCAATCCGGATGGTCCAGCTCCCAATCCACTGAGACAAAGGCTCTGTCAATTTTAGTGAGCGTTGGAACTTCCCTCTCACTGGTCCACGTGTATTTTCTCCCATGCAAGAACAGCTCCTTGAGAGCATTGTCATCAATGAACCGTTTGAATCTCCCCATCATTCTGCGGTCAATCCTGTTGTTGCTTTTGTCGGAGGCATTGAGAATAAGATTAAAATCGCCTATCACCAGCCATGGCCTCAGGCACAAGAGCCGTCGAGCATATAGCTCCTCCAAAAACTGAATTTTGTGCGCGTCATCCTGCGGACCATATACCACCGAAAGCCACCAATCTGGAAGACCAAGATCAAGAGTTTCCCTCGGCAAGCGAACCTTCCAGCTGAGTTCACGTGATGGTCCAACGCCGTCACACCTTCGAGATCCCATCGACCGAAGCTCGCAAACAATGTCTTCAAGGAGATAAACGAGGCCACACGCCGCCGGTGTCCGATTCGGCAAACCAAACCTGAGGCTTCCTTCGACGGGCCCACAGCCATGACCATGCCCTGGTTGCCAGTTAACTAGTCTACCACTCCCATAGTACGACTAGTCTACCAATCCTATGGCTATGGAAAGCAGTAGCTCTCTGGTCCACACGGGGACGTGGAGTGCGGCACAAGACCACGTCTCGTGCCCCCAAAGGCTGCTCTGTTGGCGACTCGCGCGCCGATGGCTCTGATGGGGCTGGATATGGAACTTGGATCGCTTCGCAAGCTCGAATCCTTGATCTTCTAAGGCACCGCACGGGTCCAGTGGCCAACGTTACGTGACACCAACCTAGCTAGCTACTTGTACCGGCTGTGATGATTGATGCCTAGTTGCCTGTGCTGGAGAAGGGTTAACTATGTGTACAGTTTGCATGCAATCATCTTATAAATCAGCGCACCTGATAATTGCTCGCTCAGTTCGCATCCAACTCTCTCCTTTTCTTTGAGCCCTTCTTCCCCAAGCAGGTGAGTACTCTGCTCCATGTGTTCTATTAATCCCCTGCCTCATTTCGATCAACTAGAACAGTAATCATCCTTTCTGTCAGAATAGTTCAGTTTGAGCTTAAAAATCAGCAATCATCCTTTCTGTCAGAATAGTACCAGTTTGAGCTTAAGAGTGTTCGATGTGTGCTCAATACAATTCAACTCGAGAACCCTTTTTTTCAACAACAAGCAACGATTGTTTGCATTAGCATTAGAAGAGAGTAATAATCACCAGAGTGCCATGGCATGAATTTCTTGATGCCATTTCTGCAGCATGCAGGAAAATGTATCATGCTTTTCACGGCTTATACGGGGCTACTTACCTCTGCAGTGCACATCAGAATGGGGCATCACGAAACTCATGGTATCTGTACCATTCTCTCCCTACTCCTACTGTGGAGTACCATCGTATCCGCCGGAGACGATGGCTTGGTCCGTATTGCTTTGAAGAAGAGGCCGCTAATGGAAGACATCTATAACAAGCTAGTGCCAAAGATTACAACGGAGAACAGCGGGGCAGGGAGTAAGGTTGATCCGGTGAGGGAAGCAGTTAACCAAGTTCGCGCCCAGGCACAAAGGATATTCACAGAGGCTGCGGCCATGGAACAGCTGCTCAAGCGCCGTTGGAGTCACAGAGGGATCGGAGGAAACAGACGTGTGCGCCAAGGTTACCAGGCCGTCGTCCCGCTCAAGAAGTACGTGAACGCTCAATATTTTGGGCAGATTGGGGTTGGCTCCCCGCCACAGAATTTCACGGTGGTCTTCGACACGGGGAGCGCCAACCTCTGGGTCCCTTCCGCCGAGTGCTTCTTCTCCGTAAGAGTCAATTCAATTCAACCTCTTTTTGTCCTTGTTTGATTTTACTCCCTCTGTTCACTTTTATAAGGCCTTGAAGACATTTCAGATAATGTGCAAAGCAGTGCATTTTTAATTGTCTGAAACGACTTAAAAAATAAATGGAGGAAGTATTTTATTTTATTTTGGGATGCTTGCTATGCTGGGTTGATTACTGATTTTGGTCAGCTTGAGAACAGCTTGCTTGCTACTTCCATCCCAAGTATGTATCAAGACGGTCCAGCACCTACAAGGAGAACGGTATGCTTTCTCTCCAAGACATCAGCTTATTTATTTACACTGTTGGGTTGACTAGTCATAGTAGTATGTACTACAGCTCAATTTTTAAATTCTTCTATTCTTAAAAAAACAATGCACTAGGGTGATAGAATTTCGATAACGGTTTTAAATTTTGGTAGCATTTGTTTAGTGGAACTAAGATTTGAGCTGCGAAGACGATTTTTTCTTTTTTACTTTTGAAAGAATTTTCTTGATTTTCTTCATGTTCTCATAAGCAAAATGAAAACCGCTGCTTCATGATGTAAGACTTTTAAGATTATGGCTAGATGCTGGTCCGATTCCGCCCTTCTTGCTGCTACGCAGGAACACCTGCTTCCATTCATTATGGAAAAGGAGCAATTTTTGGATTTTACAGTCAAGATCAAGTAACTATTGGTGATCTAGTTGTAAACAATCAGGTGATTCTTGTAACAGTTCCTTATTTACAAACTTAAGTTCGACCAATAGGCTGCCAATGCTAATGCCGCTGAACTTAAATGTGTTATCAGGAATTCATTGAAGCTACTTACGAGCCTGGCTTTACATTTTTAGCAGCAAAATTCGATGGCATTCTTGGACTTGGATTTAAGGAAATTTCGGTTGAAGGCTCTGTTCCAGTCTGGTATAATAGTATCATTAATTGATAATCTAATTATAGCTGTTGTGTGGTACCCTAGATTAAGGAGCATCGTCCTGGTCTTTAATCCTTATTTATCAGTCTTACAGTTGTTCATCCAAGATTTCTTTTCATGGATTTATTCATAGCTTTGCATGAGAACAGTATTGTGTCGTGTAGTAAGTAACCACTCTTTTTGTTGGACACTTCAATCTATATTATCCTCATGATAAAATTCTTTTGGTATGCTTCGTTCAACAAAAAAATGTGGCCAATGCTACTTCCTACTTCCTCCATAAAATAAGTGTCTTAACATTAGTATAACTTTGTACAAAAGTTAGTATAAAGTTGAGACACTTATTTTGTGACAAAGGGAGTACTCTCTAGCCACCAGGGGCATGTTCTTGCTGATTAACTGGTATGCCTTGACTTTTGTCTTGCTGATTAATTCGGCACAGGGCAAGTCACACCACATAGGTTCTAACTTGTCACTTGCGTGAATTGCGTTTTGGTGCCATCTTACACCTCCAGTCATCTACCAGGTACAATATGGTTGCACAAGGCCTTGTGAACCAACATGTTTTCTCCTTTTGGTTAAATCGAAATGCAAACAATGGGGATGGAGGTGAAATTGTTTTCGGAGGTAGTGACCCCAAACATTACAAAGGCAGCCATACATACACCCGAGTAACCCAGAAAGCATACTGGCAGGTTGTTACTGTAGCTTCACTCGTCAAAAGTTAAAAGAATATTGTTGGCCTTGTTATGAATTTATTGTGTTGCCTCCGTCCATCGAACATTTTGCGAGTTAATTGTCTATTTTATTTTATACTGTTGGTATCTGCAGTTTGAAATGGGAGACTTTCTTATTGGTGGGAAGAGCACTGGTAATGCACTATGTGTATTTTTTTTCTTCTTAAATAGGCAGGACTATTGAGCTCCTGTAGATGCAACATTGCCCTCTCCTGATCTATAACGTATGTCATGACCAGGAATTTGTGTGGATGGATGTGCGGCAATAGCAGACTCCGGAACTTCATTGATTGCTGGTCCAATAGTAAGTAACCATAGTCATCGGTCAATTCCATCCCACCTTTCAAGTTTGTATCAGGAAGAAGTGTATTTTTGGTCTCTCAACTATTGTTAAAATCAAATTTTCTTCCATGAGAATAGCACTGAACATTATTGATCCCCTAAAAGTGTCAAACCTTTCTAAAGTTTATACTTTGCATCGGCGGAGATTTTGCGCAAATGGCTGCCAAAAAGCACAAAATTGAAACTGTAAGCAGTCAATATAAGGCAATTTAACGAGTCATATGATTTTTAAGAATATACTTAAATCTTATGCCATTTTGAAATTTCTGAAAATTTTAGAACTTCTTTTGGATATTTTTTTTGGTGACTAGTGGTATCTTTTATGTTTCCCATTTACATGACTTTTTTATGGACAATAATAAGGACCAAACTTAAATTTTGGCAATGTTGGGATCCAAAGTGACCTTTCCATTTGTTAATACATTTATTTTTTAGCTAAATAAAAAATTAGATTTTTTTTCCATTCAATCGTTGGCCAACTGTTGTTTTGGTGCCTCAAGTATAAAACCAGTCAACTTAACCTATTACTTCAAATGGGACAGACACAAAATGGATGATGTGGTAGTGGTTTCTGACTTAAAAGGAAATGAAAAGGTGTTGGAAATTATGTAGGAGAAAGTACTAATTAAAAAAAAATACTTTGAATGATAATATTTTTTTGTGAAAAAAAATCATATTGTGATGATAAATTGTTGGAAATACGAAAATATATTTGGAAAAATAGGAACATTCATTGGAAATAATGAAATTTGATAATTATTTATGATATTTTTCTAATTAGTTTCTTCAGAATATTTATGGTTTTCTTTTCCAAAAAATTCTGATTTCTTTTTCATTTATAGCATTCCCACATATTTTGGTAGTCTATCCTGGCTAGTTTCATACTTTCCCTGATTCTAGATAGTTTGTGAGATTACTTAGTTAAAATGCCTTGCAAAAAATAGATTGCTTAATTAAATTACATTTTTGTTTATTGTGTTTCCATCTGTGCAAAACGAACGGCCCCGAGTTGGGCAAGAGACCAAATCTATCTTGTTTCGAAGTTAACTGTAAAACTTGTAAGGTTATAGAACTTGGAGTTTAAAAATAAACTCGGGATATAGTTGAAGGACCAATAATGTACTTTTGCAGTTCTAACAAAAATGCCCCTAAGTGAAGAAATACAACCCTATTAGGTTTTCATTTCAGTAATTTCTGTTGTTTAGGGTGTCATTGCCCAGATCAATGAGCGAATTGGAGCCACTGGAGTGGCTAACAAAGAGTGCAAACAAGTTGTTTCTGGATATGGACAAGAAATGATAGAGTTGCTGAAATCGGAGGTTAGATCTCTCTGCTTGATCGATTGAGTACGTTTGTTACACTGGCAGAAAAGCGAAGACACCTTTCTTTTTTTAGTCCAGTTGTGTTACAATTTAGCGCTTCCGAATAACTGCAGACACCACCGGCACAAGTGTGTTCGAAGATTGGGCTCTGCGCATTTGACGGAACTAGAGGAGTAAGGTGTGTACGGTTATCGACAAAGCTTTCGTTGTATCTCTGAAAATCTAAAGTTGATTAGTCCTTAAACATACTCTCATGTTTCTTGTGTTTATTTTGGATTCCCCTCATGATTTGATTGCACATGGTTCCTGTGTATCCAAGCAGTGCTGGTATTAAGAGGGTAACGGAAGAGGGACGAACAACATCTGTAGACAACATGTTTGATGCTACATGCAATGCATGCGAGATGGCAGTGAGGTGGATGCAAAGCGAATTCGTTCAGAATCATACCAAGGAGGGCATGTTGGAGTATGTCGGTCGGGTGAGGTTACCTTTTGATTCTTGAATTGCTAAGCATTTCTACATTTGTAGCTTACAAGTAGCTGATCTAAATGACAGCTCTGCCACAGTATGCCTAGTCCCCTAGGATCATATGTGGACTGTAGACACATTGATTCCCTGCAAAGTGTCTCGTTCAGCATAGGCGGAAGGATATTTGAGCTCCAACCAGAACAGGTATACTGTTCCCGTTAGTTCAATTACAGTAACACGATTATGACCTTTATAAGAATGTGCACACCTGTTGTTATAAAATTTGAATGTGATAAGTAGCATGAGGATCAGAACTCGGAAGGCTTGGCTAGATACAACAAATTAATCTTTTTCATGGGTGTGCTGTATTCATTTCGAACAAGTTACCATCTTGTATCTATTAGCACAAATTCCGGCATTTCTTGTAAAATGGGTTAGTATTTTCTGATACTCAGTGGGGTTTTAAGCATAGGTGGCTCTTGTAATATAGGAGTAGTTTGCAATTGCAAAGCAGAAATACTTAAAACCGTGGAATTTTCTCTTGATGTTAGTATACTACTTTTGAATCTCACAGAAATCCTACTGAAATGTACCTCACTGCCAATATATTGTTTTAAGGCGAGGCAAAAGATTTGTCGCATTCCATTAATTAAAAGAGAGCTTCGAATGCAAATAAAACCTTAGTTATGTAATACAATCATGTTGTTTCACACAATTTCAATCATCTTCCGCGTCGAGCAGTACATTCTCAAGGTTGGCGATGGATTCATGGCTCAGTGTATTAGCGGATTCACGTATTTGGACATTCCCCCTCCAGTAGGCCCTCTCTGGTAAGACAAAGCACTACTTGCACCGTTGTTGTTGATTAAATGTTTTTTTTGTTTGCTCCCATGAGATCAGAATTTCATGGCATCGGTTCCTCTCTGCCATGCAGGATAATGGGTGATGTCTTCATGGGAGCATACCACACCGTCTTTGACTATGACAAGATGAGTGTTGGCTTCGCGGATACTGCATGAGAGAAGCATTTCACTGATGTATTTTCTTTGATTGAGCAAAACATGGTCATTTCGACATGAGAAATTATATCAAAGAGATGTACGTGCATGCGTGATAGCCTTATATATAACATAGCACAATATGTGGCTTTATGTTGTGTAAAAGGTTAAATAGCATCTCACATGTACTTAGCCACTACCTTGTGCACCTATTATAACAAATATTATTCTAATTTTTTAAATGTTATCGTCGTCAAGCTAAAACATGTAGTTTTGCGGAGACAACTTACAGAGTACTTGAGTAATGAGTTTATCGACATTGTTCCTTGCCAATACTTCACCCTGCGACGAGTCATGCGGCATGTCGCTCGGAGTGTATGCGAGGGAGAGTTGGAGTGATCCAAGTTATATGGAGAGTGTTTGTGCGTGAGAGAGAGAGAGAGAGTCACAGAGGGAGTCCTATACCTAGCTAACAGAGATCATGTGTTTGTACGAACGCATGCCTAGAGAGAGGGAGAGTGGTGTATGTGAGAGAGGGGGGGGGATAGTGACAGATAGATCGAGACACTAGTAGAAAACGAGTATTAGCATCCGCCACTGGAAGCAGTTGTGATGATCAAAATCACCTTTAATACATCCAGCACATGCAGTTAGCATTGCTATAGACAACTCCGGAGGTGGTTAGAACAATAAAACTGTATGCAAGAATCATTAGAGGCGGTTGTTATTCTCCACACCCCCTCCTTAAATTTCTCGTCAACACATGTCGTCGGTTTCTATTTTACATCTCCTTGCGTCTGGTCAGTTCCTCGGAGGGTGTAACCTTGCTAGTCTATTTTTCATATAATTCCCTTGCACTTCCCCATTCCACGGTCAAACCTAGCACCAATGGCCTAGTCACATGTCCGCCCATCTGTTGCGGCTCTTCGCCCTTCCGTGGCGGCACGTTGGCCGATCTGCCCATCCTAGACGGCGAGGTGGCCGATCTGCCCTTTCGCAGTGGCAAGTTGGCAGACCCGCACGTTGGACTCGGTGATTCGATCCAGCGATAACGACACTTGTCCTTCCTGTAGGCGTACTTCTTGGAGCACCTATCCTCTTACCTTGTGTTGCAATTATTATTTATGGGTTAGTCTTTCTTGTACCATTTGTAATAATTTAGTTGCGTGCACTTCCATGTCTTTGGTAGCTTTTGAGTAGTATTGGTGAAATGATTGGGTGTAATTAATATATTCTTGATACTAAAGTATTTTTTAATGTGTGTGTGTCTGATAGTAAGTACTCAATGAACGTACGTTAAATCGATCGACCTTGCTAATGAATTGGTTTACCTTGACGCATATGGACGTTTTTCTGAGGTAAATACACTTGTGGTACATAAAGTTGCACAATATGTTTAGTTTGGTATCGCAAAATAAAAAAAATATGAAAAACCGGTGCCAGAACACTCGCGCGGCCTCGAGCCCACTGCCAATCACTGGGCGGGGCTAAAGCGTATTATTTTGCAAAACCCCCTAAACTAGTACAAATCTCGTAAGAAGCCCCTAAAACACAACTGTGACTTTCTATAACTGTGGGGGCCCACCTATCAGCGAACAAATATAAAAGTGTGACCACTAGGGGGCCAAATCAGCGACCTCATCTTATAGGGTCGACCAAGCTAGCCACCTCACCCGATCATGTTTAATGTCTATAAAGGATAACTATGCATCTCTACTCTTAATGGAGCAGTTGGTACTCTCGCTTCCAGGGTTTTTTTCGTCCCATCACTTTCGTCCGGTTTTTTTTCGTAGGTTAACCGTCGTAGATTTTTTTCGATACTGCTTTCTTATTCACCGGTTTATTTACCCATCAGCTCTTTCCTTGCAAATCAACACTTTCCAAACGTGCACGTAATCACGGATCTAAATTTACTAACTTATCCAAATCAACCGATACCTTCCATTATTGCAAATTTCTTTAGGAAACAAATAATAGATTTTAAGGAAACAAATAAAAGATTTTAAAGACGCATCATACTTTACTAACAATCACTAAAAATCAAATCTAAATTAATTAACCTTACCTTAAGTCACTCAATCACTCTAATTAGAAAACATTTTCTTTCCTAACTGTAGTTGGTAGTCTCGCTTCCAGGTTTTTTTCGTCCCACCACTTTCGTCCGGTTTTTTTCGTAGGTTAATCTCTACTCCTAATGGAGCAGTTGGTAGTCTCGCTTCCAGGTTTTTTTCGTCCCACCACTTTCGTCCGGTTTTTTTTCGTAGGTTAACCGTCGTAGATTTTTTTTCGATGCTGCTTTCTTATTCACCGGTTTATTTACCCATCAGCTCTTTCCTTGCAAATCAGCACTTTTCAAACGTGCACGTAATCACGGATCTAAATTTACTAACTTATCCAAATCAACCGATACCTTCCATTATTTCAAATTTCTTTAGGAAACAAATAATAGATTTTAAGGAAACAAATAAAAGATTTTAAAGACGCATCATACTTTACTAACAATCACTAAAAATCAAATCTAAATTAATTAACCTTACCTTAAATCACTCAATCACTTTAATTAGAAAACATTTTCTTTCCTAACTGCAGTTGGTAGTCTCGCTTCCAGGTTTTTTTTCGTCCCACCATTTTCGTCCGGGTTTTTTCGTAGGTTAACCGTCGTAGATTTTTTTCGATGCTGGTTTCTTATTCACCGGTTTATTTACCCCTCAGCTCTTTACTTGCAAATCAGCAATTTCCAAACATGCACGCAATCACGGATCTAAATTTACTAACTTATCCAAATCAACCGATACCTTCCATTATTGCAAATTTCTTTAGGAAACAAATAATATATTTTAAGGAAACAAATAAAAGATTTTAAAGACGCATCATACTTTACTAACAATCACTAAAAATCAAATCTAAATTAATTAACCTTACCTTAAATCACTCAATCACTTTAATTAGAAAACATTTTCTTTCCTAACTGCACCCCGCTTAGTGTGCACATAACAATCCGAAGTAATTAGAGTCACATGATTGAATCCATTTATTTAGAGTGACATGATTGAATTCATTTATTAACAATAATCCTCACCAAAAGTGCGTTTAGCAATTTTAGAGGGCGGACTAAAACTCTGTCATCCGCTCGCCCGCGTTTGTTTAGGTACAGGAAAAAAATGGCATAATATATGGAAACAACACGACCGGGGAGGCGGCGCAATCTTTGGGGATAGGGGATCGGAGGAGAAGGATTGGCCTGGCAGCATGATCGGGGTGCTTCCCCGCGGCCGCGGCCGTCCTCGCGATGCCACCTACCCGAAATAAACGCTGCTCCCTGTCGTCAGCCGAGGCGACGCCGCCTGCCCTCCTACCCACGATCCGCATCCGCGTGCAGCTACGGCGGGAGGAGAAGCGACGGGGCCGAGGTCCTTCATGTGTTCCGGGATGGAGGCCATGATTTCGTCGAGGTCGTTGCTGCCTCCTACACTCAGGGTGTGTCGCCGAGATCGAGGCGAGCATGAGGAGCTGTGGCCACCGCCATGGTCACCCCATCGCAGGGGATGGAGCACGTCGTCGGCCTACAGCTTGTGGAGATCACTGTTGCTCTTCAGGTCGCGTGGTGACCGGATCTTGCCGATGTGTCCCTCCCCAACGACCTCCTCTTCGCCCGGTTGGCCGGCATGGATCTCGCCACTGCTGCCCTCAACTTCTCTGCCTCGAGCTCGACGGTCAGCCACCATGGATCCCCCAGCTGGAGGGTCACGTGAACCAGCCGTCCTCCCATGCTGCAACGGCGAGAAGGTGACATGGCTCTCCGTACACGAAGAGTGGAGTTCGGTCAAGTACTTATATACTTGGCCTCTACTGCTGATCCATGTACATGGAGAAGAACAGACAACCGCTCATTCATGCTTCGTTCCACTCCTTTGCGCTACATTACTGGAGGTGACATTTTCCTATCTCTCTATGTTGTAACAAACCTGCTGCCTGCATAGTTAACGGATTTTTTATTTAAATTTATCGCTGCTTAGTGCTTTGTTGCAATTGTTCACCCAAGATTCTTATATATAATCTGAGCGTATGTAAGCATACTTAGCTTTGCTATTCCATTTTTTCTGGCGCATAGAAATAAGAGTATTGTCCAGGTTAGGTATTCAATTGAGTATGGTATTTGGATTGCTATCAGAATGTCTTTTCTATGCATGTGATTTCTCACATCTGGTTATAATATTTGTGAAGACGTGCATTGCACGTGCACTTGGAAGCGGGCCTGTGGCCCGTGCTGGACGGTGCCGACGCCGACCCGAGCCACCTCGTCCGCGTATTCTTGGAGCTGTGGCTGGTCGATTTACATGAAATTAATTCCCCCAGTTCTGGTGGCAAATATAATACACATAATCCATATTGTTATGCACTAGCGTGTATGTGTGAAATAGATGGATTATGGTCCCGTACCCAATAAGATAGATATGCGTGTGTGTTAGAGAGAGAGGGAGAGGGGGATAGAGAGTGAGGAAGAGGGAGGAAGAGTGTGTGTCTGTGTGTGTGAGGATTTGATGGTAAAAAAAATCGTCAATGTCGTAATATTGAACTCTTGAAATTAATGTGACCCCGTTGCAACGCACGGGCGTTCCTCTAGTAATGTCTTGCAGTGGACCACTTTCATGAGGCTTAAATGACGTGCAGCCAATGCGGCCCATTTCCCATATGTTAGTTTTTTTCCCTTTTTTAGTTTTTGTGAAAATATGTAAATTATGATCAAAGTACAAAACTAAAGTTAGAATATTCATGTGTTATAAATAAAATACATAAAAATAACTTACTTTAAAAAATGTTCGCGTAATTCTAAAAGATATTCATATAATTGAAATAGTTATTCCTGAATTATAGTAATGTTCATATAACTATTTAAAATATATTTCTAAAATATAAACACACATCTAAAAAATAATATATTTAAATAAATGTTCATAGAGTTTTATAAACATCCAGATTTGTGGAAATAATCATGTACTCCCTCCGTCTCAAAATAAGTG